TAAAGTAAAGTAAAAGGAAATAGAGGAAAGAACTAGGAGGCAAAGGACATTTACAGAATTATAAATGCAGACAGGTACAGATGTGAATATATTTATATATAACGTTAGGGACATAGATCTATGTACATATATTTATATGTTAAGTGTTAAGATAGCAAACTGTCATTAGACCTCTACTCAAGTACTCCCTCAATGCAAAAACACTTCATTCTAATAACGTGGCATTCTGTGATGCTCACCTGCCCAACATGATCACTGAAGCCAAATGGGCGCATAAGCCGATGTGGTGAAGAAAGCTGATGGTGTCCGATTATTACAAGATATGGTATCTGGGGTCTTTAAGACTTGAGGATAAACAAGTAGCCATCTAGCTGGGAAGCAACAAAGCCCACAATGAAGAATCACACCAGCCTGATCATGAGGTATCAATGGGATCCAGTATCAGGCATCAAAAGATCCAACAAAACCAATCATATTGATGTTAATGATGAAGGGAGAAGTGGAGACCCAAAGTCCATTTGTAGAAAATTGAACATTGTCTCAAAGAAGGGTCACTAGGAAGGGAAGAGACAGCCAGGGAACAGTATAGTACAAATGAAACATACAGCATTCTTCTAGTTCTTTTATACTTCCCCCCACCGCCCACTACCATGACCCCAGTTCTACCTTACAAATCCAGCCAGACCAGAGCATTTACATTGGTATAGAGTAGAGATCTGATACACAAAGTCCAAGACAGATAAATGTCCCAGGAACAATAATGAGAATAGCGATACCATGAGGGCAGGGGGAAGGTGGGGGGAGAAAGGGGACACCGATCACAATGATTGATGAATAAAACCCCCCACCCAGAGTGATGAACAGAAATATGGGTGTAGTGAGACAGTGGACAGTGTAAAATATGCAAATAATAATTTATAACTTATCAAGGGTTCATGAGGGTGGTGAGAGGAGGGGAAAATATGAGAAGCTGATACCAAGGGCTCAAGTAGAAAGAATATGTTTTGAAAAGGATGATGTCAACATATGTACAAATGTGTTTGACACAATGGATGAATGGATTGTCATAAGAGCTATAAGAACCCCCAATAAAATGATTATAATTTTTTTAAAGAAAAAGACCTGATTTGTGGCAGACAGGGGACTGGTTTTGCCACCATGACAATGCACCTGCTCATGTAGCCATCTCAGTGAACCCATTTTTGGCAAAAACAGCATGCCTCTCTTGAACCACAAGCCTTATTCACCTGACCTCACTTCTTGCATCTTCTTTTTGTTTCCAGTAATGAAGATGGACACAAAAGGACAGCAATTTGATGACACAGAAGAGGTGAAGAAAAAATGGAGATGCTGTTAGTTATCCAAACAGATGAATTTGAAAAATGTTTCCTAGAATAGAATCACAGATTTGACAATGCATTAAGTATAATGGAAATTACTTCAAAGTTGATAAGG